TCATTGTTGTTTGGCGGGTCCGGGCTGGGGATCCGAACCCGCCACCTTAGGTGTATGTGGCTGGCGCCTTAGCTGCCTGAGCCACAGGCGCCGAGCCAGAGCTATTATTTTCATCTTATTTGTAATTATAGTAAAAGCTGATGCTGGGTCATATGCCTTTGTGAGGAAGGGCTGACTAGAAAGTAGGTGAGAGGAATCAGAGTAGGGACTCTTGGGCTCCATTATCTTATTTTTCTTCCTTACTCTTGAAGCCTTGAGTCATGTAATGGCTGTACCTTACATGTGTTAAACTGAGTACTTTTGTTTATAAGCTTATCTGAGCTTCTCAGATTCTTGGTAAAGTGGTAGTTATACTAGTTGCTATTTTTAGAGGCCCAGCTGAGTTTGCATCACTATGCCAGGTACTTTCATACTTAGGCTGCCAGTAATTCCGTGAAGTAGATATTATTCCCTTTATTGTACAGATGAGGAAACTGGCAAAAATAGTTAAGGAAAGGAAGGAGGTTATGTAATTTACTCAAAGTACTAAGCTAGTAAATGCTGGGGCATAGACCCATATCTGGATTCTTGTTGCCTAGAAGTAATACTGTGCTAAAATAGTAGTACTTCTGTTATATGGGGGAAGTCATTTAGAGGATACGTCCTGGTTGGTTGTTAGGGAGATGTGCCTTTCTAAGTGGAAGGTTTTCATAGCCTCATGTTAAATAGAAAATGTTTTATTTATTTATTTAACATGAGGCTGTGTTTTGAGACAGGGTCTCACTATGTCACCCTTGGTAGAGTGCTGTGGTGTCACAGCTCACAGCAACCTCAAACTCTTGGGCTTAAGTGATTCTCTTGCCTCAGCCTCCAGTAGCTGGGAGTACAGGCGCCTGCCACAACACCCAGCTATTTTTTGTTGTCATCATTGTTTAGCAGGCCTGGGCCGGGTTCAACCCCACCAGCCCTGGTATATGTGGCTGGTGCCGTAACCACTGTGCTATGGGTGCCGAGCCTAAAATGCATTATTTAAAATTTTAAAATCTAAGGATAGGGCTTGGCTTTGAGAGAGAAATCTACTTCAGAAAGCACTGGAACTAGAACCTTTTACCTAAAAAGTAGTTTGGCCTGGCTTGGTGGCTTACACTTGTAATGCTAGCACTTTGGGAGGCTGAGGTAAGAGGATCACTTAAGGAGTTTGAGACCAGCCTGTTCAATGTAGCAAGGTCCTATCTAAAAATAATTAAAAAGAAATGAGCTGAGTGAGGTGGTGCATACTTTAGTCAGGAGGCTGAGGCAGGAGGATAGCTTGAGTCCAGGAGTTTGAGGCTGCACTCCAGACTGGGGAGAAAGCATGGGAGACCCTTTATTTATTTATTTATTTATTTATTTTGAGACAGTCTCACTTTGTTGCCATTGGAGGCATCACAGCAACCTCCAGCTATTGGGCTTAGGCTAGAAAAGCCATTCTACTCGGTTATCCAATGGCACGTTATTTTCATCTGTTAACTACAATATTATTCTATTCTATTCTTCTGAGACAGAGTCTCAAGCTTTCGCCCTGGATAGAGTGCCATAGCTTCATAGCTCTTAGCAACCTCAAACTCTTGGGCCTAAGCTATTCTCTTGCTTCAGCTTCCCAAGTATATGGGACTACAGGTGCCCGCCACAATGCCTGGCTGTTTTTCTGTTGCAGTTGTCATTGTTGCATAGCTGGCCCAGGCTGGGTTCAAACCCACCAGCCTTGTGTATGTGGCTGGCTCTGTAACCACTGTGCTACCCACGCCAAGCCATCTACCCACTTTCTTTTCAGTTTATGCTTGGAAACCCAGGACAACATTAGACTCTGATGAGTCTTTGTATTTAATTCTCCTGTATCTTCATAGTTGCACCACCTAATTCTTACTTTGTAAAAAGAATTCTGTTTAATGGCTCTCCTGAACTCTCTGTGGAAACCTTGTAGAGGCTGCAGAGAAACTCACATTTTCTGAGTTAGTGGCCTTTTCATCTTAAAGTGAAAAGGATATTCACTTTAATATCCTCACTCTGAGGATATTATAAAAAATAATTATCACAAAGTACAGGTGCTTCTATTTCTGGGTTTTTTTTTTTTTTTTGGCCAGGGCTGGGTTTGAACCCACCACCTTGGGCATATGGGGCCAGTGCCCTATTCCTTTGAGCCACAGGCGCCGTCCTTCTGTTTTTTTGTTTGTTTGTTTATTTTTTGTTTTGAGGCAGAGTCTCAAACTGTTGCCCTGGGTAGAGTGTGCGGGCATCATAGCTCACTACAATCTCAAATTCTTGGGCTCAAGCAATCCTCTTGCTTCAGTTTTTCTATTTTTAGTAGAGTTGGGGGTCTCACTATTACTCAGGTTGGTCTTGAACCTGTGAGCTCAGACAATCCACCCGCCTCAATCTCCCAGAGTGCTAATTACAGGCGTAAGCCACTGCACCCGGCCACTTCTTTTAATGTGAAAAACCTAACACGTGGGTAGCACTTTTGGCTCAAGTGGCTAAGGTGCCAGCCACATACATCTACGGTGGTGGGTTCGAATCCAGCCCGGGCCACCAAAACAACGACAGCTGCAACCAAAAAACAGCTGGGTGTTGTGGCGGGCGCCTATGGTCCCAGCTACTTAGGAGGCTGAGGCAGGAGACTCGCTTGAGCCCAGGAGTTGAAGGTTGCTGTGAGCTGTGATGTCACGGCGCTCTACCCAGGGGGACAGCTTGAGGCTCTGTCTCAAAAAAAAAAAAGAAAAAACCTAACACATGGGTAGCGCCTATGGCTGGGTGAGTAGGGTGCCAGCCCCATATACCAAGGGTGGCATGTTCAAACCCAACCTTGGCCAAACTGCAACAAAGAAATAGCCAGGTGTTGTGGCGGGCACCTGTTGTGTCCCAGCTACTTGGGCGGCTAAGGCAAGAGAATTGCCTAAACCTAGGAGTTGGAGGTTGCTGTGAGCTGTGTGATGCCATGGTACTCTACCTAGGGCAATAAAGTGAGACTATGTCTCTAAAAAAACAAAAACTTAACACTCAAATAGTGACTTGATTTTATTGATTTTAAGGGGTAGTGTGAGGTTATGACAAAGGCCTGAGACAAATTGAGGGATTGGTAATGGATTTGTTGAAGACCTTGTTTATGAAGTTCCTTAAAAAGTTAAATTTCTTGAAAGGCTAGAGAGATCGAATATCCCAGAAGAAAAACCAGGATAAGATAGTCTGTGTGTGGCTCGGCACCTGTGGCTCAAGCGGCTAAGGCGCCAGCCACATACACCTAAGGTGGCGGGTTCGAATCCCCAGCCCGGGCCCGCCAAACAGCAATGATGGCTGCAACCAAAAAATGGCCAAGCGTTGTGGTGGGCGCCTGTAGTCCCAGCTACTTGGGAGGCTGAGGCAGGAGACTGGCTTGAGCCCAGGAGTTGGAGGTTGCTGTGAGCTGTGATGCCATGGCACTCTACCCAGGGGGACAGCTTGAGGCTCCGTCTCAAAAAAAAAAAAAAAAGATAGTCTGTGTGTTCTATTCGTTTTTTTTTGAGACAGAGTCTTACTTTGTCGCTCTCAGCAGAGTGGTGCAGCGTCACAGTTCACAGCAATCTCTAACTCCTGAGCTTAGGCGATTATCTTGCCTCAGCCTCCTGAGTAGCTGGGACTATAGGCACCCACCAGAATGCCTGGCTATTTTTTGTTGCAGTTTGGCCAGGGTCGGGTTCGAACCCGCCACCCTTGGTATGTGGGGCCAGCGCCCTACCCACTGAGCCACAGGTGCTACCAGTGTTCCATTCTTTTTTTTTTTTTTTTTTTTTGAGGCAAAGCCTCAAGCTGTCACCCTGGGTAGAGTGCTGTAGCATCATAGCTCACGGCAACCTCCAACTCCTGGGCTCAATAGCGAGTCCCCTGCCTCCACCTCCCAAGTAGCCACAAGGCCTGGCTATTTTTTTTTTTGGTTGCAGCCATCATTGTTGTTTGGCGGACCGGGGCTGGATTTGAACCCGCCACCTTAGGTGTATGTGGCTGGCGCCTTAGCCACTTGAGCCCCTGGCGCCGAACCCAGTGTTCCATTCTTTTTTTGTTTGTTTGTTTGTTTTGTTTTGTTTGCAGTTTTTGGCCAGGGCCAGGCCTGAACCTGCCACCTCTGGCATATGGGGCCAACACCCCACTCCTTTGAGCCACAGGTGCCACCCCCAGTGTTCCATTCTTAATGAGAGAGGACTCTGTGCTGCAGAGGGGAAGGAGACAGATGAAGGTGCATCAGGGTGGAGCTCTGTCAGTAACCTGGTCACAGCCAGAAAGTGTCAAAACATACATACAGTATGGTGCTGCCTCCTTCTGCTTCCAGCTAACAGATGTTAAAATTATTAAATAGACTGTAATGATTGTGTTTTATGTTCATCTTGATTGAATAAGGTTATGTGGCTTATTGTTTCCTTCTTCATGGTCCTGTGAACAGATATTGCTGGTGAATTCAAAGAGCAGTTACAGGCTCTGATACCATATGTGTTAAACCCTTCTAAGTTAATGGAAAAGGAGATCAATGGCTCAAAAGTCACCTGTCGGGGACTATTGGAGTATTTTAAGGTAAATATTAGCTTTAATTATTAAAAATATTTGATTTTTGGTAAAGCCAACCTAGGTTGTAAACCAACTGGAATTTCAGTATTTTGAAACTTAGGGGGAAAGTTTTCTGGGGGAGATGGTAAAAGGCATTTTCAGAGACCTCAGTGTCCTTCCAAGTGTGGGCCACTGGGTGGCGCTATCAGTCTAAGAACCAAATGGATGTTCTTTGCACTCTCTTAGAAGAGTAAATTACTGTGGCTAAAGGAAGATTGTTCCTGGAGGACGATGGTGTGGACAGGAGGTGGTTAGGAAGTTGCTGTGTGTAGGAGGAGATCGCACCTAGATGTGACACGACTACCTCAAGGCGGATGGTCACTCTGCCCAGGTAGTGGTGAGGCCAGTGTGCATGGGGTGTCGGATGGGACCCTAGTCTTCCTAGGCTTGTGCTGCTTGAGAACATTTTTAGTTAACTAAAAACGCTAACATACACTCACAGGTGTGTTGTGTTTTTGCTAATTCCTGGTTGTTGATCTAGGTCTTTAGGAAAATAAAGTTGTATGGTCATTGTTTCTAAAAAAGTATGAATATGTATGACAGAATGATATCATAATCAGTTCTTATTTTTATCTTTTAAGGCATATATTAAAATTTACCAAGGAGAAGATCTGCCTCACCCCAAGTCGATGCTTCAGGTAAGCAATTCTTTGACATACTGAATGCTGTCCTTTAACCACTTGAGTTGCATATACAATAAATAGAGTCCTTTAAAAAGAGAACACAGTTGCTCTCCTTTCTCATCATGGAGGTCTGTTGATTTTTGGCATGCCTTGCAGCAGCGTGGCTGCCCTCTAGTTTCTTATTTGTATTCATGGTAGTACAGTTAAAACAGAATGGCCTCTCCACATTGGGCCTGATCTTCCCATCAAACTCACTTTGGAAAACACTTTTATTACAGCCAGGTAAAACATACCCACTAGGTTAGATAAGTAATTTCCTGTCATGTCCTGAACTATTGTTATCTATTTACTGTTCACTAATTGGGTTTTCTTATTTTCAACTAGAAAAGTGTCATTTGGTTAAAACTTATAATTTCTAACTTTCAAATGCTGAATATAAGGCCATTTGTTACCAAATGTTGATTTCTTTAGTAGCGAAACATTTTCATAAAGGGAGCTAGAGCCTGGCATTGACATGGTAAAGATACTTTTTTTCCCTTCTTTTTTGACTCACATCTATTTCTACATTAAAGCAAAGAGAGTTAAATTTTCCTTGATTTTTGGAGGTTTAATTTATACTAATGATTTTTATCTATAAAACAGATTTTTTGGTAGAAAATTTGGCAGAAAAGGTATATTTTATTTCATCAGTTGAACTGTATGAAAACCTAAAAATTAGCAGAAAGTTAATAAAAACAAAGAATGGAGAATATGGTGAGAGTTTTTAAATTGGGTTATTTGTAGAAAGAATATTAAAAGAGGAAGAGTTTATAGTTCACACTTTCCTTTCTTAAAAGGCCACCGCTGAAGCCAACAATTTAGCAGCTGCAGCCTCTGCCAAGGACATTTATTATAACAACATGGAGGAGGTATGTGGTGCATATGTTTTATTCTGAAATATCTATAACCTGGGCATTGTTGCTGTCTTTAAGAGCCCAACTTGATCTTTCTTAATGTATCTTAAGATGATGAGGCAACAAAGCTATAATCAGGTGTCCTGATAATCGGGGTCTTCTAATTATTACTTCTTCTCTCTTCTTTTCTTTTCCTTTCTTTTCCTTTTCTTCCTCTTTTTAAGAGGGCCCTTACTCTGTTGCCCAGGCTAGTGTAGAGTGGTACCATCATAACTCACTGTAACTTCAGACTCTTATGCTCAAGTGATCCTCTAGTCTCAGCCTCCCAAATAGCTGGGACCATAGGCATGCACCACTCCACCCAGCTAGTTTTTCCATTTTTAGTAGAGATGGAGTCTTGCTCTTGCTCAGTGTGGTCTCAAATTCCTGAGCTGAAGCAGGCTAGGAGCTCAGCCTCCCAGAGTACAGGGATTACACATATGAGCTACCTCACTGGCTGGGTCTTAGTTATCTTTTTAAAGTCAACTTCTAATATCTTAAAACATTCTAACCTTTTTTTTTTTTTTTTTGCAGTTTTTGGCTGGGTCTGGGTTAGAACCCACCATCTCTAGCATATGGGGCCAGGGGCCTACTCCTTTGAGCCGCAGGCACTGCCCAACATTCTAACCTTTTCGTTGTCCTTTCATTTGTTTTATTTGGCACTTGTTTTTGAAGGGATTTTCAACATACTGTGTCTTTGCTCTTTTTAGGTTTGTGGGGGAGAGAAACCTTACTTGTCTCCAGACATTTTAGAGGAGAAGCACTGTGAATTCAAACAACTTGCTCTGGACCATTTTAAGAAGACAAAGAAGATGGGTGGGAAGGATTTCAGTTTTCGTTACCAGCAGGAGTTGGAGGAGGAAATCAAGGAACTGTACGAAAACTTTTGCAAGCATAATGGTAGCAAGAATGTCTTCAGCACCTTCCGAACGCCTGCTGTGCTGTTTACAGGCATTGTGGCTTTGTACATAGCCTCAGGCCTCACTGGCTTTGTTGGGCTGCAGGTTGTGGCGCAGCTGTTCAACTGTATGGTTGGACTGCTGTTAATAGCACTTCTTACCTGGGGGTACATCAAGTATTCTGGTCAATATCCTGAGCTGGGCGGAGCTATTGATTTTGGTGCAGCATATGTATTGGAGCAGGTAAGTGGTGTCCCTGAGGAGCTGAGATTTGATAAAGGGCAGATATTTGTGCTTCTGTTGTAAAGTATCTGTTTAGAATTTCACAGTGAAAGAACACTTGAGAAACTTTCCTTGCCCATTGTTTATTGATAAGCTTTAAATTTTATTATCCAGTTTTAGGATAATAATATTTATTCCTAGTATTTTGTGTCTATACCTAAAAATGGCCCTTAGATGAAAAAAAAGTTCCAATTGAGACATATTTTTGTTTCTCATGGGCAACTTATAATTACATACTCTTCAGATACCATTTCTTTTTTTCTTTTTTCTTTTTTTTGAGACAGAGCCTCAAGCTATCCCCCCTGGGTAGCGTGCCTGTGGCATCACAGCTCACAGCAGCCTCCAACTCCTGGGCTCAAGCGAGTCTCCTGCCTCAGCCTCCCAAGTAGCTGGGACCACAGGCACCTGCTACAACACCCAGCTATTTTTTGGTTGCAGTTGTCGTTGTTTTGGCGGCCCGGCCTGGATTTGAACCCGCCACCTTAGGTGTATGTGGCTAGAGCCTTAGCCACTTGAGCTACAGGTGCCGAGCCCAGATACCATTTCTATGTGTCAAATTTCCTGAACCCCATAGGTTAATTTGCTTCATTGAAAATGAAGAGTTTTGAGTGGTGCCTGTGGCTCAGTGAGTAGAGTGCTGGTCCCATATACCAAGGGTGGTGGGTTTGAACCCAGCCCCAGCCAAACTGCAACAACAAAAAAATAGCTGGCTGTTGTGGCAGGTGCCTGTAGTGGCAGGTGCCTGTAGTCCCAGCTTGGGAGGCTGAGATAAGAGAATCACCTAAGCCCAGGAGTTGGAGGTTGCTGTGAGCTGTGATGTCATAGAACTCTAATGAGGGCAACATAGTGAAACTCTGTCTCAAAAAAAAAAAAAAAAGGAAGAAAATGGGGTAGTGCCTGTGGCTCAAGGACTAGGGCACCAGCCCCATATACCAGGGGTGGTGGGTTCAAACCCAGCCCAGGCCAAAAAATGTAAAAAAAGAAGAAAATGAAGAGCTCAGAGAAAAATACAAACTGAACAGTTTTGAGTCCTTTTGGGTTAGAAAATGAATGGCTTTGCCTTCATTTAAAATCTTCCAGTAAGCCTGTGGCTTTTCGACATTGACATGATCTTCAGTTTTATGGATGTTTGAGATGACTTTTTTTCTGAGTAATGTGAACAGATGAGTTAGGTTAAGCAGCTTGTGAAGATGGCAGAGCAGACATTCAGCTGAGAGTCTTAGGTGTTGGCTGCTGCCACAGCCTCTCTTCACCTTGGCAGTTTTGTTCCCCTACTTTCTGTGACATACTGATGATGGAGAGTGGCATTTGAAAGTTTATCGCGGGCTCAGCGCCTATAGCTCAACCGGCTAAGGCGCCAGCCACGTACACCTAAGGTGGCGGGTTTGAATCCCCAGCCTGACCCGCCAAACAACAATGACGGCTGCAACCAAAAAATAGCCGGGCGTTGTGGCGGGCGCCTGTAGTCCCAGCTACTTGGGAGGCGGAGGCAGGAGACTCGCTTGAGCCCAGAAGTTGGAGGTTGCTGTGAGCTGTAATGCCATGGCACTCTACCCAGGGGGATAGCTTGAGGCTCTGTCTCAAAAAAAAAAAAAAAAAGAAAGAAAGTTTATCGCCAAGGACTTACTCTCTGTTGTATTTTATTAACTGTCGAATTAATGGACTTTTGCAGGCTTCTTCTCATATTGGCAATTCCACTCAGGCTGGTATGAGAGAATCAGCTGTTGGAAGACTACCTGTGGATAAAAAACCTCAATAGCATCTCAACATGAGGATCCAACAAGAATCCGACTGATTTCTGGGTTTTTGCTGTGGCCACAGAAATGGCAGATCTGAGACCATCCAGGAAGAGCTGAAATGTGGCATCATAATAAATGAACTGACCTCTCCTGTGGTTTCAGATTCTTAAACACACTTCCATGTTTGTTGGAAACACTTCTTTTCCTTGCTATTGTAGATCCAAGCCTGTGTTTATTTTCTCATTGCTTTTGCTTTGTGCACTTTCTGGGGGAGAAAGCTAAAGGCAAAAAATGGAAATGCTGCTTTTCAGTCCTCTATGTGCCATTAGTGCCTTTAAGGTTGAATCCATGGTTCTGCAGACACAGTGGGGCATGAAGGATGACTTCATGAAAGGTGCCTTTTGGGGTGAAACTTCTTAGTCCTTTACTCTTTTTAGAAAAATTTCCTTTCATAAAAGTTTACAAAACTTGGAAAAACTTCAGAACTAAAGAATAACTAAAAATGATGCCATTACACTTTAAAAATCTTATTTATAATATTACATAATACTGTTTGCCATATAGAGTAGGAAAATTAATTATATTTAAATATACCCTATTCATTCTAAATGTAAAGTTTTTCATCCAACAGGCTGACAGTTTTGTTGTAACATGCTCTATTTTTTTTCTTAAAGCTTCTTTCTAGAAAGAGAAGAATATATTCCTTGAATAATAAAAGGAATGAACTAGATATTGTAAGAAAAAAGCTGCATTCAAAGGAATCACGTGACTACCGATAAGTCATTTGAACTTGTGCCTTGGTCAGGTTCACTGTAGATTTTATATGTATGTAGTTGTTCTATATAACTCTTACTCACAGTTGTCACTTGAGAGGCTCTGTTCTTGAGAGTCAGCCCAAGAACAGAACTTTATTAAGAATTAGAGGAAAGATATTACCAAATATTACTGCCTTTGATTGATGTCTTATTTCATGTGGCTTAACAATAATTAATAATTAAATAACATGATATAAGGTCCATTTCTAAAGTTAATTTGCATACTCCTATGCACTGTCCAGTGTTCTAATAATGAAACTGAAATTACCAGTTTTATTTAGTGAGTCTTATTTAACTTCATTTTTGATTAGTCTGCTAGCTTTAAAATAGCTTTTACATGGTAAAAACCAAAGTCCTATGCAAATATAAACAATATTTAAAAGTGTCTAAGAATTTTTTTAATTTACCTTGATTATGTGATAAAAAGTTTATACCTGTTAATTACTTTTCCCTTTGATTTATAATGGTGAATTATTATGGATTTTAAAACTCTTAAAACTTGCCTGTAAGTATTCATATATGATTCAGGTATGTGAGCCTTAATTTTTGAGATAATTTAGTTTTGTGGGTGGAAGGTGGAAAGGCTTACATAAAATATGATTGTAAATTTTATATGCATCAAGTATAAATGGAAGGTAGAAAAATCTCTTCTAGCATGTAATCTCTTTATCAAATAATTTTTTTGACTAATACTTTATTGCTCAAGTATTTTTATAAGTCCTAAATTAATTCTAAGCACTTATATATTTTTCATTTTTATATACCATCTTGTCTTGAAGTTCTTGCTATTTTACTCACTTGCTGTTAATTTTAGAAAAATTCTAGCTTGTTTTAAAAACCATTTACTTATGCTCATCAGTGATGGCAAGCCTTTACTGTTAAGTTGAAAGCTTCTGACATTTTGGTGCATTTTCAGGTTACCTCTCATCTGTCTGAAGGTTCATACTTTAATTACTAGGTCCTATAGGTTTTGCAGTACTTAGCTTTTAATATATTCTGTAAGTATTCAGAACCTAAATTTATAGGTTGCAGAATAATTATCAAAAGTGGTCCTACTTTTAATGGCGAAGGGCTAATTTGTCTAAAACCTATTCTAAGGTATTAGGTCTTTTTTTTTTTAAGTAAAAATGTATAATTTAATAAAATCTTAGGATTTAGTTACTGTTTCATTTCACCATTTCTGTTTTAGTCTTACAGGTTTAATTACGCAGAGGAAGACCCTTTTTTGGTCCTTATTAGGTAACTTGTTCTGCTTCTTTATAAGGTTTATAAGTTTTCTTGATAAGTTTTCTTTGATCTCTTTTTTAACAGTAAGTTGATGACTTTATGTCAGCTTTTTCAATAACACATCCATTCTCATTGCTAGCTATAGATAGTGCTAGGGAGATTTATAACCAGGTTGCAAAAGAAGGACTTACATGTTAACTTCTCTTCAGCTTATGATTGTAGGTGGGGAGCTCAGATTGTGGGTGTTTGCCCCGTGTGTGCCACCCTGCTACTCCTGCAGGCCTTTTCCTTTCCTCCAAGGCAGCTTTAATTTGCACATTCCTAACACCATATGGAGCACATTCCTATTAACATATAAAAAGAGGTTTCCAATATTTTCTATTAAAATAACTCATAACTTCTTTCAGAAGTAGTCAAATGTTACTAATTAAATAACTTGCAATTAGCTTTTTTTTTTTTTTGAGACAGACTTTGTCAACTTCGGTAGAGTGCTGTGGCATCACAGCTCACAGCAACTTCAAACTCTTGGGCTTAAGTGATTCTCTTGCTTCAGCCTCCCAAGTAGCTGGGACTACAGGCTCCCGCCACAACGCCTCACATATTTAGAGACGGGATCTCCCTCTGGCTCAGGCTGGTGTAGAACACGTGAGCTCAGGCAATCCACCCGCCACGGCCTCCCAGAGTGCTAGGATTACAGGGACTTGCAATTAGCTTCTTAGAGTAAAAATAATAGAATCAAAGTTTTGATTCTTTCACTGAGAAATCTTTCTATATGATTGTTTTGTAGATAAAATGAGGACAAACTATCTTGTGTGATGATAAAAACACTTTCAGAGTCAATGCCTTATTTTCCTAGTATCCTAAGAAATCTGTTTATGTTTTAACACCTATTTTATACTTGGTAAAGTTGGTTGTGAATATTATTTCTGCTTTACTTTTTCTTTATTTGGAGTAAAATGCTTTGGGCAAACATACACAAACAGAAAGACCACCTTGTTTTATTAGTGGACCACGTGTTTACAGCTCAGGAGTCCTCAAACTTTTTAAATAGGGGGCAGTTCGTTGTCCCTCAGACTGTTGGAGAGCCGGACTGCGGGCCCCAGGACGAGTCGGCCGCTAAGCAGGACAAGCAGCAGTGGCAAAAACACCCCGTGGGCCAGATAAATGTTCTCGGAGGGCTGCATGTGGCCTGTGGGCCTTAGTTTGAGGACGCCTGACTTAGCTCATAAAATGGTGCCTTGGATAGGGTGAGTTTAGATGAGTATGTATGTATGAGTTATAGTAAGATTAAATAGGTTGATTAAAGTTTAGGCAAAAGCAGTAAAACAAATAGTCTTATTTTTTCCTAGGGGTGTTTTTTTTTTTTTTTTAAACAGTGTAACAATGTGGAAGTCTCCATAGAACTATGGCTTTGGATTTAATAAATTTTAGTCAAGGTATGAGGTTATGATGAAGACAAACATTAGTTGTGAAAGTACAAACTATATACATGGTTGATTTTTTTAGATGACATGGAAGCCTACTGAAAAGACTGTTTGCAGTTGAATAGCTTTCCTTATGTTGGTCTTACTGTAGCTGTGTTTGGACTGGTGGATCTCTTTTATATTGGAGTACACAAGACCTACCTAGAAGCCTTGTTTAAAGAAAATACAGACTCCCAGCTTTACATCCAGGGATTGCATCAGTGGTCTGGCTGTGGCCCTGGAATCATAGCTTTATAAACAGTGGCACAGAGACCACAGAGAGAGAATGCCCATGAGATGGGAAGTACCAAGCATGTAGTTTGGTATCAGCTAGAGGCAAGTGGACACCTTTTACCTGAGGTTCAGAATACACAGTGTCTTACCAGATACAGTCACCAGGAGTTTACTGTATTCAGAGTAGTAAAGATGCTTTTAATCCAGAGGATCATTTAAACTCCTTAAAGCTGTTACTTTCTAAATTGTCATAGTGCCTTCTTTGAAAAATGAATGTATAAATATCCTATGTATTAACAGATGGAATTAGGATTTTAACAAAGTAGTTTGGATAGCTATTTTTTTTTTCCAGTTTAGAGACAAGAGTCTGAGTCTTGCTCGGTCACCAGGGCTAGAGTGCAGTGGTATATCTAGCTCACTGATCTCTCAAATACCTGGGCCCAAGCCATCTTCCCCACCTTAGGCTCCTGAGTAGCTAGGACTATAGGTGCGCACTACCACACCTGGCTAATTTTAAAAAGTGTTGTTGGGGTTTTTTTTGGTAGAGATAAGTATCTAATTGTTGATCAGGACAGTCTTGAACTTTTTAATTTCAAGTCTTCCTCCCGCCTCGGTCTCCCATGGCATTGGGATTACAAGTGTGAGCCACTGTGCCTGACCCATTTTTTCTTTTCAAAGCAAAATTCAGCGCTGTGACTAGAACCCCTAAATCTTTTGCTTACAGAGAACTTTATTTTTTAATTTTTTTTTTTGAGACAGAGCCTCAAGCTGTCGCCCTGGGTAGAGTGCTGTGGCATCACAGCTCATAGCAGCCTCCAACTCCTAGGCTTAAGCGATTCTCTTGCTTCAGCCTCCCAAGTAGCTGAGACTACAGGCGCCCGCCACAACGCCTGGCTATTTTTGGGTTGTAGTTGTCATTGTCGTTTGGCAGGCCTGGATTCGAACCCGCCAAGCTCTGGTGTATGTGGCTGGCGCCTTAGCCTCTTGAGCTCTACGGAGAACTTTAAATCACACGTAAAAATAATGAAGATAAAAGAGGGACAGGATCATACCTTTGATAGTGACCTAAGTACCCAATATCAAGAACTTTTCTCAATAGGTTTAGGGGCAGAAAGGTTGTGTGTGGGTTTTTTTGAGACAGAATCTCATGTCACCCTCAGTAGGGTGCTATGGCATCACAGCTCACAGCAACCTCAAACTCTTGGACTTAAGCGATTCTCTTGCCACGTAGCTGGGATGACAGGCCCCTGCCACAAAGCCTGGCTATTTTTTGGTTGCAATTGTCATTGTTTAGCAGGCTCTGGCTGGTCTTGAACCCACCACCCTATGTGTATGTGGCCACTTGCTTTACTCACTGAGCTACAAGCACTGAGCCTGCAGAAGGGTTTTGAAAGAAAATTTTTTAGGAAGGAATTTCATGTGCCAGAACAAAAATTTTAATGT